GCCGCTGCCTTGCAATCCTTTACATGTGTCTCCCAGCGCTGGGCTGCAGTGTCCGCCTCTGCCTCGCAATCCTTTACATTTGTCCTCGCAATCCGTTGCATTTGTCTCCCAGCTCTAGACTGCTGTATTGAAATCCTTTATTTGTCTCCCAGCTCTGGGCTGCATGTCGTTTGCAATCCTTTACATGTGTCTCCCTGTGTCTACATTTGTCTCCCAGCTCTGGACTTCTGTGGCCGCCTCTGCCTTGCAATCCTTTGTCTCCCAGCTCGATGTCCCAAGCTCTAGTTGCAGAGTGTTCCGATATTGAAAAACACAAACTGTTTGGGGTCTACGGTGGTGTAATTTGAACATGTCGGGAGAGTGTCGGGGTGCCAGAGCCAACTTGGGCTTGGCTCTCATCCGCCTCCAAGTGTAGTCATAATCTCCCTGTTCCCTCCTTTCTTTCCCTCTTTCCTTTGGCTGTGAGAGGCTACCGTTCCAGTCTTGAGCCATCATCATATGGACAACTTCTACTCTTACTAACTTAGTGTTTGCTTGGAGTCAGGTGCGAGTTTTAAAGTTTTTGATTTGTTCTAAAAGGTTCAATCGAAAGGATAATAAACAGTTCTGGGCTGGAGGGTATCCATGTTGTATTGCCAGTTGACAGTCTTCTGAAGTCTTTCATTGGAATCCGGGGATATTGCCAATTGCCCAGCGGTTATTTCGCCCGGTGGGTTTGATTTACTTACCTTAGAGGCTGCGTTGTTTGTTCCCATGTAAGTGCAGTGAAGCCCAGATGAACTTGGCAACCCATTAGAATAAGTCAATAAGTTAAGTCAAGTCATTGAATTTTTGAATGTCCCATGGATGCAACAAACTGCATGAACAAAATATTCATCTGGTGATAAGCAGGGTCAGGGTCACTCATTCTTTGAATTGCCATTTGAGGTTGTCCAATTAGTGAAGGGATGATGTTGTTTGCAATTTTGAACTTTAGAATTAACCCGCCCACTGATCCAATCATTTTGCATTTCCTAGACCAGAAATTACAATCCAATTTCCCTAAATGACACTAAATATGATTGTGGCTTTGGGGGGTATGGTTTTAAAGGCCCTGACCCTTTACGACTGTTAATTACTGTGGGGGGGGCAGGGTCCAACTCTTAGATGTTATCGGTAATTAGTGCACGGACCGAGTGCCAATAAATCTTAAAGCCGAATGACCGAATCAATCACCTTGGGTTTGGCCAGCTCGTGCTGAGAAGCGCAACATTTGGCAGAAGCCGAGCTTCCAGTGACTATGTTGGGTTTTTGAACCATCCAAACCAATCTTTCTTAAGAATGGCACGATGCAAGAGCATGAGCTGCGCATGAGCTTATGGCAACCCAACCAAAAGTGATTTTGTTTTATCACATCCTGAACCATGCATGAACTATGCATCACGACACGTGAAAAATGATCTGATTTGGGTGTTGCTTGTAGCCGCTCATCAATACCAACAAAGAACTAGTTATTGGTGATTGATTGATGGTGATTAAGTGATTACATACATACAGAAGGAATGGAGGCAAAGCTCAAACGTGTTCTGGTCCATATCCGACTTAAGATTCAGTGAAGAGTAGAAGAAAGAAATTGAAGAAACTTTGCTCAAATTGGATTTGTTGTGCTGTCGCACGTAAAAGCTGCCATATTTGAAGAAGCACAAAGGGGATCCGATTACCCCCAATAAAGCAGGTTCCCACGTCTAGCTTTAGTAGCGATACAGCTGTTGCGATAAAATGTGACCCCCAACCCAAAGTGATGCATCGAGATCTAATGTCATACCATGTTTTACAGTACTGCGAGTATACTGTATCTTTCATTTGCTTCATAGGTTCATGCAACCTCCCAACTCTTGAGGAACCTCCCGCCTCGGGGAGAGTCTCCGTCTCACCCGTCTCACTTCGCCTCCGCCTGGTGGACATCGTTGTTCTCCGAGCGTTGAGTGGGCCGAAGCAGTTGGAAGTGCTGCTTGCTTTTGGGTTGCAGTGTTGATTGAAGTGGCTGACTCTTCTTGAATTGGATTTGTTTGGTTCAAAACACACCCCCAGACCATCCAAGTCTGCCGCCCAGGCCGGAAGGCGTGTCCCAGGCTCTAGGCCAGGCCGGATCGAAGCGAGGTTCGGCCCCGCGAGGTTCGGCCCAAGGCAGTTGGATCCGGCGGTTTTTCGTCCAACCCGAAAGGGCCCAAACGAGGGAAGTGTTCACCACTTTCTCTCCCTCTCCCTCACCTCCCTCACCCTCTCCCTCACTCCCTCACTCACTCACCCTCTCCCTCACTCCCTCACTCACTCTCTCTCTCTCTCTCTCCCTGCTCTTTATTCCTTGACGATTTCTCCAGAATTGCATGCGTTCAACATCTCTGAACCTGAAACCACTGCCAACCCGACCTACGACCATGGCCGAAGGGACTAAGTTACACTAAGGTACAAGTCCCATTGTGCCATTATGGCAGCCAAGTTCCCAATGGCTGTGGTGTGAAATTGGCCATTGGTACCAAACATCATCAGTCTGAGTTTTGTACAACAGTACAACACGGCATTGAGAAATGAAATGACATCAGAATTGGCAGCGGCTCCTGCAAACGGCCCCTCACTGATCAGTAGTGAATGATCCGCAACTGTGCACATACATCAGAGGAACACGATTTCTGGCATGTAGACAAGCCACGAACTATCTACATACAGTTTTGCACAACTGCGAACATGTGCAAAGCACCTACAGTGCACGTTGAAAGCTGAAGCAAAACGATTCCTCTTCCGTCGAGGGGTTCGGGCCTCTCGTTCGCCGCCTCAGCACGCCCGACATGTTCCAACCGCAGAACCAGTCAGATCTGCTCGTCTGTACGTCACGGTAGGATTCAACGGTCATCTCTGGTCATATTAGGGACCGTGCGCGCGCGCCACGCCAATGGTTGAGAAGACCAGCAAAAACTGGTGAATGAACTGCATCATGAAGTCCACTTAGTTGATGATCAGAAAACTTGAGAATGTGAAGTCTTATTATAAGGGGCAAGGATCCCAACTCGACAATGAATTTTCCGATACTCCTTGAAACAAATGACTCATGACTGACACAATTAAAGTTCATCTTGATGGTTGATGCAGAACTCTTGCAGCGTGCAGAGTCAACTTTCTGGGGGTCAGGTGGTACGGGGGTTGAAGCTCATCGCTGGGTCAATGAATGGTAAATATTGCATTGACTTCCCATTCATGGGGAAAGTTGGCCATTTTTTGAGCAATATTATCACAAGCAACATCAGCCATTTGGCCCAATGATAAAGCCCCTGCGCCTGAAATCCCAAGAGTCTACCTTGGAACGTTGATCTACCATAGAATTCTTTCTCAGCGAGCTGGTTAGGGTTTGCAGTGATCCACATTGAGTCGCTGAGGCTACATCTGTCTTCCGATGATGAGAATCCAGCAAAACCCGGGCGAATCCCTTCAAATGATCCGCGTCCGACCCCGCTCCGTTCGACGCGCCGCTTCTGCCCCAACTCGCCGTTACTATAGTTCGTCGGCTCCATTTCGTTCCATGGATTCCCCGGGCGCCGCCCAGGCGCCACAGCCAAGGGCCCCGTCTCAAAGTATTTCTCGTAGACCTGTGATCTGCAGCTGTCGCACGGGCGGGGACTCGCCGTGCCGACGATCTGTTCTGTTTGCAGCGTCACGGTGTGGGTACGACCGAGAGACATGCGAGCTGAGCTGGTTACAAAGTCGTGAAAGAAGGAGAGACATGCTAGATAGGCTAGATGTTGACTTTCTTGATGGCTAAGTTGTGGTCTCTTTCAGGCGGCTACAAGCGTAAAACTTTCATGGGCACCTGGACCTGGAATGTCAAAGGTGTGAAGGTTCCATTGCAGGTTTTGGGGTCTCCTCTCCCACGGCATTGGATCTCATGCGGCGACTACAAGTGAAGCCAAGTGGGTAGCCATGTTAGTAAGTGAGAGCGACAAATCTATAGACATGTGACATGGGAGGATTGTAGGCGGACCTAAGTAGTCCAGCAGCTGCATGAGTGACCTGCAAGACTTCCCTAAGTGGGCAATGTGGAATGTGGCAAAAGGTTACTTTCATTACCAGGAGTCACAAGACGGGGTGGTTTCTAGTCCCATCCAGTGAGTGGATGTGACAGGGGCACCCCGACTTCCTTCGTTCGGCATCCCTTTCCTTGTGACTCCTGGTACCTTCTTCGCACCATCTGGATACATGTTTCGCATCTCCACACACTCCTTCAGCGAAACCAACAGCGATGAACTGCCAATTGCAGCTATGCCCACCAAATGCATCCGAAGGGTGCCCAAAGACTTGTTGACTTTACTTGTCCTGAATGGGCTGCACTGGGTTTCCAAACGCTAAACTGGAGAACCACCGTAAGGTCGGGCGATGCGGAATGACGCGGTAGGTGCTTACATCGGGCTTTCTCGAGGTATGTCCATTTGACACCCCCTAGCTTCAAGGTATGCCCCATGGGCACCCCTAGGTTTCCTGAGGTTTTGACCCGAGACACGAATGACACGCAATGACATGCAGGCTGCTGGCATCTCGAAGCAAAAAGATTTTAAGCTATGGTCCTTTGAAGCTCCAGTGACCTCATGTTCATGTGGCACATCCAAGGCATCGCGTGTTGGGGCCCTTTCGCCCTCTGAAGAGACCTCCCCCTTCTTCCCACCGACTGTGCCTTCGAGGACCCGGATCGTCTCGGATCAACTGGTCGTGTCCCAAACGAAAGTACACCATTGATTAGGTCATATTAGGCCATGTTGGCATCACTGAGAAACCCTAAGAGGCTCCAAGTGTTTAGACATGTTTAGACCACTCAATGAGGCCTCACCTCAAACATCCCTGCCAGGATCGTACTTGCAAAAAGGTTGATTCATTCCACTCTGCCTTTCGTGAAAATCGCCCATCTTCGCCCTACTCGCCTCCAGCCAGTCATAACGACCTTCTGCCTCGCTCTTCCTCTTTAACAGCGTCTGCAAAGCCCTTTCCACCTAGCGATCGCCACACCCCGTGCTCCGCCAAAGAGGAGAAAAGATGCGGCTGCGTAGACCTACGACCATGCCCTATGGACTTCTCAAAATTCAGAGCAACAAAACCATCGGTGGCACCACACTCGTGGCACCATGGGTTCTCCCCGCCCAGGACCCCTTATTTTTGGGGCGCTTCTTTTGAAGCCTTGGGTCAAGCCGGCCTGCAACCCCGCTCAAACACCGCAGCACCGCTCAAACACCCCGTGCCCGTCCGGCGTTCCCCTGGGCGCCCTACGGTCCCCTCTGGCCGCCTCCGTGTTCTCGGGCGCTCGCCGCTTGGCCTCTTCGAAGGCCTCCAGAGCTTCATTGAAGCGGGGAACTCCGCACGCCAAAGCGCAGCCCAGTCGGTACCTCAGACCCGGGCATCGGACATCTGCGAGAAACACCTCTCGAGGCCAAATGAGCCTGGATGTTTTTGGGGAGCTGTGCCTTTTTGGGGAGGCAAACAAATAAAAAATCCGAACCCATGCGGAGAAAACTCAACATCGGGAGTATTGACAGATGTTGGGGGGATGGGAGTATGAGAGGAATAGGGTCTGTCTGGCGGAAAGATCGTAAATGTTTGAGTCCGGAGCATGCGGCTGGCTAATCCAGGATCAAACCATCTAGAGAAGCAGCCATTGGAGAAGCCTGTTGGTTTGCGATAACTCCTGTCTGTGCTGTTAGACATCCAGTCTCCAGGCGCCAACATAGACTCCTGCTTGGTGCTTCGTACTAGGAGCCCCCCCATGTGTAGAAGCTGGAAACTTGGATTTTGCGGCTCCCAGGAAGCCTGAAAAAAAACAACAAAAACACATATTCACCATCCTACAGAGGCAAACATGGATTCACCCAGTTTGGGAAAACATATTCACCTGATCCGCAAAAACAGGCAAAACATTCAGCTCCTTCTGTCAAGCAGCCAGGTTTTGGGGTTCTCCGGCTGCAATGCACGTGCCAGGGCGGCGTCCTGGAAGGCGTGATGCATGAATTTGATGTGCCATGATCACTGGCCATGGCTGATGCAAACAAGACTCGTGACATCGAAATCACCAGAAAAGTCAAAGATCAGGAGAAAACACACAATCCAACAAAAATCAACAACAACCAAAAAAAGAGACTTAAAACAAGACACTCAAGGAAAAAAACGCAACAACACCGGCAACACACACACAGATATAAAATAAACTCAAACAAACAAAACATAACACATATAATATATATATATACGTTGTGTTTAATGATTTTTTTGAGTGTCAATGTGTTTTCGTGTTGTTTTTTTGAGTCTCCTTGCTGGTTGAGTCTTCTGTTGAGTCGCGTTTTGTTGTTTGTCTATTTGTTCATGCTATATGAGCTTTCTGGGAAATCCTGATTACACAACCAGATATTGACACGATCGACAGTCATACCATGGCCCCCGTTTCGGGATGTCCTATGAATACCTCTTGAAGATCAAGGGGTCTTTGTTAACCATGATTTTCGGGAAACGCCGAAATCCTCGAGAAAAACCACACCTATAGTTGAGGCTTAAGACCCCTCAAAATCATATCATGAAACCGTTTACCGTTTACCGACCTGCAGCCATCCCAGCACACAGCCGCCTTGGTACCCCTGAAAAGCAAATCCAAAGGAAGCCGCCTTGGTACCCATGTGTTCAACCAAATTCAACGAACTTCTCCTCCCGAGCGCCCTTGAAGTTCTTGAGCTTGAGACGACACCTAGGAAGGTGGACCCAGGTTCATATCCTGGACCAAGCAAGAACAAGGACACCCAGCTGGTTGCAAGGCAAATCACACGCGCATAGCAAAAAAACATGTGATTTCGCTTGTCAAACACCACTCGTTGTTGACACATGGAAACAGGCATGTGTCTTTGACTCTGATAACATCCTCGCTGTGGTTGGTGGTGTCTTCTTTTGTGACATCTGCAGCAGTTCGAGCAGCATGATGACCACGCAAAACATCCGTCATCATGGCTACAAAACATGAACTCCGTCGAACTCGACCAACCAAAAGAAAGTCATCCATTGCGCTCCGCCGGTGAGCAAAAACCTCCTCGCTTCCGAGAGCAAAGTGCTGTTTGAGTAGAAAAGGCAGTACACATACAATGTCATACATATTTTAAACAACAACTTTCAAAGAGTTTGGTGAATCATTGGGTTTTTTTGACAATCTCTTGTCCTGAAAAAAATGTGTTGATTTTCACACATACACATATCATAACAACCTTTTCCGCTACGGGGCGAACGGAACTGGGTCTCTCTGCTGCGCACGGCTACAAAGCGCTTGTGCTCGGCCCTCGGCACTGCTCGAGCTTTGCAATGCCTGGTTCACGACGGACGGGCCGCGGTGATGTCTTCCACCCGCCGTTCGGATCGGGAAGAGGCCAAAAACTCGTTGGAAGAGGCCTTTTTGCCTTCTGGAAACTTGGGAACAAGCAGCTACTAGGTGGAAGCCATCACTATTCGGTTCAAGGCCACTAGGAACTAAGAAGCTTTATAGCAGCTCCTGGCAGAATTACTAACTTGGGAACACAGTCACTCAGATCTGGTGAAGCAGCCCTTTTTGGAGGTTGCACTTGGAGTAAACTTAGGACTTAGGATTGGTGTGTGTGTGTGAATCATGCAGTCAAGGACCCATGAAGGACCCGAACACGATGATTCTAGATTTGGTCCTGGTTCGAGGAATGCCATGAATTGGTTGGCTGCGCTGCTCCTTTTTCAAACTCACGACCTCGAGTGAATCCAGTTATATATCTGCATTTGACTGGGTCTGGCTGGCCGAGGTGGAACTTGAGAGATCTTTTGAATCTTTCTTGGGATGTATCCCGGCCATCTGACATCTTTGGAAATCGAATCTTCCCCAACAAACCCGGAAGACAGCTTTCCGACCATGGGACCTACGAGCCTTTCCGAACATCCTGCAAGCAGCTGCTTGGACCCCCCTGGCACCCACCCCTGGCCCACCGAACCGAACCGTTCGGTGGGCCAGGAGCCCCAATAGTGGGGGCCGGGAGCCCCATCGATCGTCGTCCCACCAGGCGAGGCGACGCGGCTTCGATCTTCGACGGAATGGCGTCGCTTCAGCCTCGGAGTAGATGGCTTCAGCCTCGTCGAAGCGCCGAGCCCGGAAGGCCGCGGCGCCTGCCGAGGGAGATCGAGGGATGAAGGTAGATCGGATTGCTTTCCAGATCCCTTCTGGTGTCCTTTCTTTCAGACCATGAAATCATACGTTTTCTGGGGTTGGTCCCTGTCATGTAGAATTCATTTGGCAGGGTTTGACAGAGGAAACGCTTGCTCCAGATGCAATCCCCTGTTCCAGGTTCATGCATTTGGTTGCCATCTCGTTATCCTGAAGCCCCTCTGATAACTTCCAGCTCTTGGAGATTTGACCCCTTTGATAGATTCTGCTGATCTTCATGGATAATTCTGTGGTGTGACATCAGCTTGCTCAAGCATGTTCGATCCATCATCCTAGCTAGGTGATCACCTAATTGTTCTCATGGTTCAACCCTTCTGTCTTGTGGGGGGGCAGAACATCGCAAGCCATGCCCTTTAGGCTGCAGGGTACCTCTACCAAGCCGCTTTCTCGCATCCTTTTGGCTGCAGGGTTCAAACATGTTTTGTGCTTGTGTGTTTGGAGTTTGGATAATGAAACAAGAGAAAATTGATGAAACGTGTCATCTATCTTAAACAAGAGAAATCCTTCCGTTGAATAAGCGTTAAGGCCTTCTACAGGTCTGTCAAAGCATATTTTGATACCGTTTCGCACATGGTAGGTATGGCGCTTCGAGATGTACCCAGAGATGTATCATGATGTATCCATGTTCCGCACAACATTTGGGCTCAGCTAGGACTCTCTACTTCGGACGTGTTTCTCTGGATTTTGCGAAAAAATGTTCAGACAAAAGTGCGAAAGCCCAACCAGAATGACTTGGATATACTTGGATACTGGATACTCTTAAAGACTACGGTCTTGCCCCCATCATCCCCCATCCTTCAAGAGAAGTGATCAAGTGAACCACTTGCAGCCAGGCTTGAGTACTGCGAGGCTGGGCTTGCTCTAGGAGCAATGAACAAACCTTGATATTTATTTGGCAACTCGTGGTTAGCGAGAACTCAATTGAGATTTGATGTGTTTCTCGCGCGTGAGAAAACCTGAACTCTCACGTCTGGGAAACACCCTGGCTCTGAAGTCACTCCATAATCACCAGCCAGTTGGGACAGTGCAATTGACCCACGCAACACTTTTCGGGGCCAACTGCTTGTGCCCTGCCCCACTGCGGTCCCGGCCGTCAGGCATTCCAATCCATTTGGGCGCACGTGGCACGGCCGTTTTGGGTGGTCTTGAGTCCGTCTCGTCTTCACTTGCTGGCACTGGAAGTACAATTACCCCGAATCCGAAGGCAATCGCATGAATGTTCAATGCGGTCATTACAAGTACATATGTATACTGTATACGCGTAGCATAGCACGACTACACTTCAATGACTAGCTGGAGTTGAAGTTTTGGAACATGAAAACTATCAAATGTTCAGGATTGAATATTCTAGTGTCTTTCCGTAGGAGTCTTGTCATCGTATACAGACAGGTGATCGCGCTTTGTCGACACACTTGCCTTGATCCCGTGGCTCGAGCGGCTGCATCGTGGCCGGAAGTTGCTGGTATACTAGTAGCTTCTTGTTACTAGTAGCGATGGCCTCCAACCTAATGGCGATGGCCTCCACCTAATAGGTTCTTGTTCCTAGTAGTAATGCCAGGAGCTGGCCATGAGTTACATGCTGGATCGGCTACGGTGACAGGTGGTGGACGCTCCTGTCGAAAGTCTCAGCCATGGACTTGAACAGAACAGGACGTGGTAAATCCTCGGGGGTAAATGGAGCCACCATATACAATATACAGTAACCACAGCGTAGAATTGCTCAGCCAAGTTTAGTTTGGGATCAATGGTATGCACTTGCATTTGCAGGAAATAAGAAGACCTCCACCCTTTTCGGTCTTTGCAAAGACGATGGACTTGAAAGTGGCAAGAACTCAAAGCATCCGTAATTGAGCGTCTCATCGGTCAACGCCCGGAATGAGGAGGTCAAATGCATTGTCTGAGATCTTTCGTTCTTCACGGGCCAGGTTTTTTGATGCATCTCTACAGAGCCAGGATCTTGAGATTCAGAACCAAGTTGTGTGATGTTCTCAATTTATGGTCATCCTGGAGTAGATAGAATATGGGAAATATGGGGTCATGTTTTTGGATTGGTTCACCTTCTATCTACTCCAGGATGGTTGTATCTGTAGCTCGCTGATTTGGATTCACTCCTGCTATAGAATAGCCCCTCAACACCGGCTGCCACACCCCAAGGCGAAAGGGGCGTGGTGACCTCAGTCACTAGTCCCAACGAATGCGGGTCCTCGCGCGTGGGACATGTGTCTGCGCGCCAAAAGAGGGTCTGCATGGGTTCACATAATAGGCTTTGGCTTCAAGAAGACATCGACCTGCATGCTTCAGAAAATGCCCTCCAAATATCCAGTGCACTTAATAGAAGTGAATTGAAACACTTCTGTGCCAAACAAAAACTTCTGTCACAGGCGCTTGGGAGGGCCTCAAGCGCTCGTCCAGTGGTCAGAATCCTCATGAGAGTCATTGACTGTTGATTCTGTTGACTAAAAAAGCCCTCCATATTATGCATATGGAGGGATGACATATATTGAAATATCATACAGGTACAGAAGGGAGTTTTATTCATCAACATTCAACATGACGCTGTAAGCAACACGTCACACGTGATTTGCTTACACTTGGGCAGTGCCGTTCCAAGCTCAGAAATCATAGCATGGCCAATCGTAGCAGGGGGGGTGAAATGGCAAATAGATAAAACGATCCGTCGCATTTCAAGAATTGTGTTTTATCATTCGCGCTACAGCTCCCTCGTGGCCAGAGGCTTTGGCGCCCACTGTTCGGGAACAGGACATTCCATCCTAGCGAAGGGCCCAACATGTGGGGGCCCATGCAGTTGGATTCTCAAGCATTGTTCGCATGCCATCAGTGGCAGGTGCGATTTCACCGAGAGGATTGAGGGTCGATCTTGATTCTTTGAGAGGCTTGGAGAGGGTTCGGCGACGAACCAACTGAGTATACACTCCCAACTCATCACACGGAAGTGGAACAAAAATTGAGAACACAGACTGTTTTATAAAGGAAAGAGCGTATGAGTTCTTCTCCTGTGTTCATCTGCTTGAGAGAGGCCATTTGTATTTCCATGAACAGTTGAAAGGATCGGGAAGCAACATTGAGCAATGCCCTGGAAAAAAAGAACTGGTCAGGACATGTCAGTAAATATGTGCGTCACAAAACCCGCCACATCGTTGCAAAGTGCGGAATGGAGGGTCACCATTTGGGACATCTCTCAATAAATTCTTGCCCGTGCCGCCGTGTGCGTACTGCCCGTGCCACAAAACCTATATAGTTATAGTGGTTTCAGAATAGATGGCACAATCCCCAAAAGGGGGGTTATATGGATCCTCATCAAAAAGACCTCTTCAGGTTTGTGCCATCTACTCTGAAACCACTGTATCGTAAGCAGCTCTTTGAGGTCGAAAGACCCTCTGATCATCCGATCTGTCAGCACGACACGTCAACCTCCGTGATCACTCACCAACCTTGTTGCATCTTCGTCGCCGTCACGGAGAGTCTTCCAACCACCGGACGCCGTGCGTTTTTCAACGCAGCGACACGACACGTCCGACACGACACGTCCGGGTGTCAATGGCTCGGGTGTAAACGTCGCTTGTCTACGCGGCGCCGCGCACGTGGCCCAGCGTCGCACCGCGGGTCCTCTTGACTGGAGACTCGATCACCCACCATGAAGTGACGGTCCACGAGTCTCAAGGAACTCGCCTCTGAAGCGACAGGCGGCGGGAGCCGCTGTTGCCAAACCGTGTCGATGGAGAGGCCGGCAGTGTCTTTTGATGGCCAAATCGATTGGACAGTCGGGTTCTGTTGCTGATTTGGAATTGAGGACCCATGGACCCTAGTATTGGAAAGTTGTGGTAGTGGATTCTATTTGAGGGTCCTCCCAACACACGGAAAGTCCAGGTGACCGAGGCGGCCGCATCAGGTGACCGCGGCGGCCGAGGGTCAAACAAATCAACCCAAACAGACGGGGCTGGTTAGAAGTTGAAAGTTGAAACGTTTGGGGCGCCCAGAACATCCACTCACTGGATGGAACTAAAAACCACCCCGTCTTGTGACTCTGGTCAGCTTTTCTAGACCTGAATCCCACTGACTCTCTCAAGCTGGCGCCTTGATCCTGCTGGCGTTGCTTTGTTGCAGGTTTTGGCTGAGCCAGGAGACACGGCAGTGCCCAGGCGCCAGTGGCCCCATCTCCTGCGCGCGCATCAAACGGCTCAATGGCCACTACACATGTCGCGATGAGATTGCAGCAGTTGGATGATGGTAGATGATGGTAGTCAATTTGTGTGTATGAAAATAGGGAGACCTTCCCAGGCACCCCCCTGAGAAGAACGGATATATACTGTATATACCAGGACCTTCCAACAGGTGGTTTTTGGGCACTCCTTGACCTCTAAGAGGCTGTTTATAGACACCTCTTGGAAGGTCCTGGTATATATAGACCAATCACACATTGGTTGGAGGTCTCCATACATTTATATACATTAAACATAGATGCATGTCATGTATCCGGGATCCAAGTACGTCCGAAGGTAGTGGTCGACCCTTCAAACCCGCCGCGACGCCGCGACGCGAAAGGACGACGGCGCGAAGTCTGGCACCCGTCTCCTCTTCGGAGCTGTCACCCAAGTCTGCCACGCGGTGGACCTCCCAAAGTGATGAACAATTCAAACTTCATACCCAAACGCTCCAAACAGCCCGACTGGTCCCTCAAAACCGGATTTGAGACCCCAAAGCCCTCCATATGAGGGTCAGCGTCTGGGTCAAAAGAAACGGAATCGCACGGAAGGATGGGCTTCTGCGCTTTTCAAAACCTCTGGTCGATACTGAGCGAAGTGAACTTCTGTCGAAACCTGTCGAAATATCTACTGGTATCTTACTGGTCCAGTATGTCAGTGAACCATTCATTTGGGATTGCCCATGGTTTTCGTGAAAACGGATGGGTCTCAACTCATGATCATGTCTCGACCTGCCCTTTGGCGATCACATCAGTTAGTATTGCCAACCTCTTCACCGAAGAAACACCGCTGAATCTGTTCCCAACAAGTTCCCAGAACAGCTTCCGCGTCAAAGAAGAGACGCAACTCCGTTTTCTTCTTCTCGTTTCAACAAACATAACACTTTGGCTGCTTGGTGAATCGAATTGAATCCGCGAGCTGCCTTTCAGTCATCAACAGCTACGACGTACAATCATCTGCGGCAGCCCCGAAGACTCACCCCTCACCTGGCCGCGCCACTTTTGCCTGCAAACGGACCAAACGGACCGAATCCATCCGTTGTTTTGACGGATCAACCAATCTGACAGGTCGATGTAATGAGTAAAACCTGGTGCTACAACACACACTTGCCGCACTTCCCATTTTGAAGATCTTTAGGGCCATTTTGGGGCTCGAAGGATCGAGCTTGAGCATATTTAGCTGCAAGTCATGGCCGCCATTGAGATGTTGGCAAAGCCTCAGCCAAACTTCACCAACTGTATCATCAATTCTGCCAAAAAGCAGCCATCCACCCAAGCCGAGCAGGTGGCATCCAGCAAACAATCATCAAAGTTTCAAAGTAGTTTAAGTGTTACTATTCATGTACAAGTATATATATATATAATCTGTCTGATTCGTTAGTTGCTACCTTCAACATCTGTCAAACATGCAGAGTAGATTGCAAGCTTCTAATCTTGGATGTGCTTTAATCAACTTTAATTTTGAATGATATGCACAGGCAGCCTTCGCATTACCCAAATACGTGCTGTAGGGTTAATTTATGGGTTTTTATAAAGCTGGACCACAAGACAGGGGGGAGCCTCAGGATTCAAGGGATGTTGAGGGCAAACTACTGCAAAACGGCCATGAGTTTCATGTGCCAATGACTAACTGAATCGTCCTATGAAACGAACCGAAGGAAACCTACGTTTGCTGGCCAACTCGACGTTGGAGGCAATGACTCCAAACGGCTGCACAAGGCTGAGAGAGTCGCTCAAGAAAAAACACCAATGACTGTTCCAGGCCTAGTAAATCTCAAATGCACCGATCCAAACCCCATGATGTTGCAATCAGTCCTCTTTCCCTTTGAAGTTCAGGAGAAACAAACCCAGATCACGCCGTTTGACGCTTCAGTTCCGGAAGCGACCAATCCGATGATGATTCGCACCTGAGCTTCTTCTTTTGGTGCAGTTCCACAAAATCCCTGGGCGCGGATCGGAGACGCACGGGAGAC